CAGCCGCCCCCGGGGAAGCCTTGGGGCTTGCAGTTTCCCAGGAGAACAGAAGGAACTCGGGCGCTGCCGAGGGCACACTCGGGCTCGGACAGGGCCTGTCACAGATGCCTACATGGGACACGGAGACAGGGGGCATGACTCACACACCCACCCACCCATGACAGGAGGCCAGCGGCCACCAGACATCCAGAGGGGCCTTCCCACGGTCCCCTGACCTCCCTCCCTCCTGCTTCAGCAGCCCTCTGTGGCTTCCTACTGCTGCAGTGCCGGCTTCACCACGTGCACGGGGCCCAGCTTGCGCCTCTCCTCTGTCCATCTCTCAGCCCCTGCAGTTACACAGGCCTTCTCCCCCTCCTGTCCATCTCCAAGGTGGAGTCACCTCCTCCTGGAAGCCCTCCTTTCCCCCAGGCCTTGCAGCTCCCTCCTGTGTGACCCTGTAGCAGCCCACATCCTGTCCCACCCTCTGCATCTCATCTCTCCACACATCATCCATCCACAGAGTGAGCTCCGGGTGGCAGTGCCCCCCGCACTCAGCCACGTGCGTGGACCTGGAAGGGACACAATGGACACTTCCTGAGTGGGTAACTCGTGCAGGTCCTGGTGACCCGACCGTCTCCTTGGTCTCGGCCTCAGACTAATGGACGTGGTCATACAGGAGCCAAGGTGTAGCATCGAAGAAAAGCAGCTCCGACCACATCTTACGGTGGGTTCCAGGCTGATGTGTCAGGAGCCCAACTCCTCGCCGAGTGGCGGCACATGCTCTGGGGCTTTCCAAGGCTGCTGACAAACAGCGGAGGCAAAGGGCTCATCTGGCCCGGCCAGTGTGGCTCAGTGGACGAGCCTCAACCCATGCATGAACCCGGAGGGCACGGTTCCGTTCCCGGCCAGCGCACTGCGAACTACAGATTCGCCCTCCCTCTCCCTGAAGCCAACAAAACCACACATACTTTTTCTTTTCTTTTTTTAGAGAAAAGGACCCGTCTACTCCCCAGCTCATACGTACCTTTCTCTTCCAGGAACCTGACCGCATCCAAGTACCCTCGCAGGCATATCTCTCCCAGCACCTGTCAGCCAGGCAAGTAAGTGAACTCCCGGCCGACTTGCTAAGGCTCATTCATTTAAGCTGAAGACTCCTTCCAACTCTGAGCTGCCTCCGTGGGTCGGGCATGGCCAGACAAGGGACTGGGCAGGAACGACACCCCTCCATGGGGCCTTGGTTGTCACCCAGCATGACAGGCCTGTCCTGGTTCTCAGGGGACAGTTACAGCTGCCTCCCCTGCTCTGTGCACAAACCACCCACACCAACCAGCTGGTGCCCGGCCTTGCCTCCAGGGGGAGCCCTTGCGGGCTGCTCACTGTCCTGCCCACTTCCCTGCAGCCTTCTGGACCCCAAGCCCCGTTAGGGCCCCTGTCCACACACCCCCTTACCGTTGGGGTGGGAAGGCACACTACAGCCACCACAGTGCTGCGTGGTTCGTGACCGTGGCCACGAATAAGATCATGTGGGTAACGCGACACATCCTACCGCCCAGGCTGCACCCACAGACAGTCTCCCCAGGATCTGGGGACTGGTCCAGGGCTCCGCTCAGGTGCCGGCATTCATGGATGCTCTAGTCCCTCACGTAAATGGTGTAGGGTTTGCACACAGGCTACAGCAGGCACCCTGCTCCACGTCACTCCGTGGATGCAGGGTAGGGCGCGGCGAGGGGCAAATTCAAGTTTTGCATTTTGGGACTTTCTGTAAAATATATATACATACACACACACACACACACACACACACACGTTTAAGCAACCAAACGACCGGTCGCTATGATGCACACTGACCACCAAGGGGCAGACGCTTAATGCAGGAGATGCCCCCTGGTGGTCAGTGCGCTCTCACAGCAGGAGCGTCCTCAGCTGACCAACCCGTCCCAGTGGCCCACCACACTCCCTCAGTAGTCCTGCAGCTCCAATCTCCGGAGAACGGGCCAGGCACTGACAGACCACTCCGCTGACAAGATCCCCAACAGCACCACCGGCCTCCTGGAAGTCGGCCGCGGGCGCCATGGCCACTTCCCCTCCCTAGACTCTCAGCAAGGATGAAACAACATAAAAGCGGCCACCAGGTGGCTCCCAACAAATGGTATGAAGGTCAGCGGGAGGATCCCGGCCCGGCAAGCACCACCGCCTGCCTGGAGGGCTGATCACTTCCCAGGCCGCCCCCGCTTGGGTGGGCACCCGATGCAGGGCTCACAGTTAGTGAGCACTGCTGGGCGGTGCAAGCCCCTCCCGATCGTGACTGACAGGGTGTGAGCCTGTGGCAGGTGCAGCAGGGCTGGGATGAGCAGGCATGGCAGGCAGGAGGGGCAGGCGGTGTGGGACTGACCGTTTGGGCCTGATCCCCACAGGCCACCCCAAGGGATCCCACCTGTGCACGAATTTGTGCACCGGGCCTCTAGTCCTATATAATAAAACCCTAACATGCAAACTGACCAAATGGCAGAACGACTGGTCGCTATGACGTGCACTGACCACCAGGGGGCAGACACTCAATGCAGGAGCTGCCCCCTGGTGGTCAGTGTGCTCCCTCTGTGGGCTCATGGCCAGAAGCTGGGCTCATGGCTGGCCAGCACAGCAGTAGTGGCGGTAGCCTCTCCTGCCTCTGCTGCTGTGCTAAGGACCCCTCAGGGGATTTCCGACTGCTGCCTTAGGTCCGCTGACATCTCCCGAGGGGTCCCAGTCTGTGAGGGGGTGAAGGCTGGGCTGAGGGCACCCCCTTCTCCCCCCAGTGCACGAATGTCATGCACCAGGCCTCTACTATACATACTAGTGTGTGTGTGTGTGTGTGTGTGTGTGTATTTAAATCCTCACCCAAGGATATTTCTCCATTGAATTTCACAGAGAGTGAAGACAGAGAGAAACATTGATGTGAGAGAAACACATTGATTGGTTTCTGCCTGCACAAGCACGGCCAGATCCAGGCTGGGGAGGAGCCTGCAACCGAGGTACATGCCCTTGACCTGAATCGAACCTGGGACCCATTGGTGCACAGGTCAATGCTCTATCCACTGAGCCAAACCAACTAGGGCTAGAATATTTTTGATGTGTGGTTGGTTGAATCCACAGTTGGGAAACCTGTGGAGCAGGAAGGTCGACTGCACTAGAACCGCAGTCATGAGGAGCAGCAGAGTTTAAATGTCCCAGGTGATTCTGGGACACCTCCTCCTGGAAGCCCTCCTGGGGCACCACTGACCTTCAGGGACAAGTGACTCTTCTTCGATCCCTGTTCATTGAGGGGTCAGCTTTGGTTGGTTTGCGTAGAGACACTGCTGGGTCCCCAGGCAAACAAGCTGCACCCGCAGAACGAACAGCCCCACTCACCTTCACATCCGGCGGGAACAGGACTTGGTTGATCAGGTGGACGTTCTCCAAGCAGAAGCGGAGACTGAGACTGCACACGTCCACATGCATGAAGTTCGTGGACTTGACCTTAGGACAGATGTCATGCTCCCCAAGGAACGGGGACACGGTGATGGTCGTCTTGTCATCAAAGCAGGGTCTAAAGTCACTAAACCCTCCATCCACGTACCGCTGTGAGGGAGAGAGAAACACATCCGGTCCGAGGCTCTGGCAGGGTCCGTGGTGCTCAGATTATGGGGAGAGGCTGGGGGGGGGGGGGGCGGGCTTGGGG